AAACCGATTAGGAAAGGCCTATTAGCCAAAACGGCTATCATATTCGGAATCAGCATGATCGATTACCTATAAGCTACCGCATTTCGTTAGAAAAGCGATTTGACAGTTGGATATGTTCCCTCGTCAGCTGTTTTTTCATAACATATTCGTTAACGAATAAACATGAATGAAATTTAAATCCCAATCTTAATAAGGATTGTCTTTTACTTAGGGATATATATTAATACACCACAGCATATCCGACTTCTTTGGATATTTGAATAATCACTACTAGCACGTTATTCCAAGGGGGAAAGCACGGAATCTAGTAGAATCCGGTGGAATCTGGTAGACTCCGATGGAATCCGGGATTCTACACTCCTCCAGAAACAGAACAAAAGTGTTCTGTTTTGGGGGAAAGTTCCAGAGGATTTAAGAGAATCCTAGGGAATCCTTGGAATCCAGGATTCTAGGATTTCGTGCTTTCCCCCTTGCGCTACTCTAAGCATGAGTGTTTTTAATTTAGCGTATAAAAAACAACTAATTGGCACAAGATCGTGAAAGCACAATAATGCTTCATAAAATGAGGCAATGGACGGCAGCAGCATACTCGGAGCCACGAAATCCATTCAATTTGTGGAAGAAAATCATCATCCAAAATAACTTGGAACGAAATGACAAATTTGGGGTCCAACATCGCATGATCGATCCCATTTATAATATTCAAACTTTTTTCAAATATACATTCACACATACTCTAGCTAAATATACAAATGAACGTCTTAAGTTTAGTTTCGTTTCCATAGGACAAATCCCCAACACTCATAGAATTTAGCCTTAGAGCACACAGTGCCCTATTAGCTAAATGGTAGTGGTTCTAAAGTTCCAACGAGGGACCATATCCAACTGCTCTATTGGTTTTTTAACCAAGTCTGGTAGGTTATAGGTTATCGACTGTGCTGCTCCGAATATCAACATGAGACGGGCCGTTAGACCTTCAAAGACCGTTTTTATAAGAAACCAGTTTTTCAAAAAATCTGAAAAATAGCGAAAACTTTTCTTAATGTGGTGTGATTGTAGACCGCAAATTTCTGATTAAAATGAGACATCTCCTAGCTCTACACGATCTTTCGTTACAAAGCTACAGAATTTACAAGAAAAGCCCTAAATGTTCATTGTCAGCGCAAACATTAGAAAATTAGGTACTTTTGCCGCGCAGCACCACATTAGATAAAAATTGGGCGCTAGGTGCAAAATTTTTCGGTGAATCCGACAGCGGGTTCCTTATAATTATACTTTGACATCTTTTCTGGCGTCGACATAATCTACGTGGTTTTTGCCTAAATTTTATTTTTCTCATTGGTTGAAAAAAAGGCGCCAATGAGAAAAATAAAATTTAGGCAAAAACCACGTAGATTATGTCGACGCCAGAAAAGATGTCAGAGTATAATTATCAAAGGACGGGAGTCGATAAGGGGCAAAATCGGCCCCCTCTCAGATCAAGCTCATATTTATACTGATCGAAATAATAAAGAACGATTTTCCTTCCTATTCAAACAAAAACACTTGAGAACATTTCAGCCTAAAATTCAGCAAATTCTTACAAATTTCCATTTCTCTTTGAACAAAAACTTTCACTTCTAATAAAGGATTTCACAAAATTTTCACTCTCTTTTTCAATAAACAATCAAAATTAAAACATTTCTCGCCTCTCTTATTTTTCCGTCTGCATGAACAAATTCCTGTATAAACAGCCACTTTTCTGTGTATCAACCATCATTCTACAAACGAGCATTTACTGAAGAAAATATTCGAAACGCGTTTAAATTCTCGTGAGTACATTTTACATTTTCCGTTTTTTATTAAACTCTGTCGTCGTCTTTATATAAAATATATATTTTTCTATTAAAAACTAAAACAAAATCACAAAAAATCATTTTCTATTATCATTTATTCAAGCATCGTTCGTTATCTATCCCTTGCGCTTTATTTCACCTCTCGTGCTTCTCTTAGTGCACAAAAAAATTAAAAAATCAAAAAGAACAATTTTCAAAAAATTTGGTAAGCTTTTTCTCTTCTTTTTGCTGTTTTATCCGCTTGATTCTTTTCTTCTTCGATTTATTAATCATTGTCAATCACCCTCACCCTCAGAAAAATAGGTAGAAATGAGAAATATTTATTTACGAATTTCTTGTTTTTTTCCACAGTGAGAACAGAAAATTATGTTTGTTCATTAATCGTGTGAGGCGACTAGTTCATTGAGAATCTTTGCACTCGATGATTGTTCATCTCGGCGACATAGAAATTGTTCTGTCGATCCAATGACAAACCGGTGGGATAAATGAGCTGGTTTGCTTGATTTCCTAGGCCGTTTCCACCAACAATAATAGTTCCCTGTTTGGCTTCTTGCGGCCAACACATTATTCGATGATTCCCAAGGTCAACCACATAGACAGTGCCCAATTGATCGACAATCACTCCGTTGGACCAGTGTAATTGTGTCAGAGCATCTCCTTCACCTCGACCACCGGCCACAACAACACCTTCTTTCGCGCTCTTCAACCACTTCATCACACGATGATTGTGGTCGTCCGACACGTACAAGTGATCTCGATCGACGAAGAGGAAGTGAGGTTCATTGAGCTGATCGAGACGATCACCTTGTGCGGTGATTCCCCCAGTCAGCGATGTAGATTGTTTGATCTTCATCAACATACAAACCGAATGGGCAATTGAGTTGATTGAACCCACTGCCACGTCCATTTCCTCCTGCCACAGTGGTGCCGTTCTGAGCCGACTTGGCATTGACAGGAATCTGTGCCATTGCTGCAATGAAAGAGAAACAAAATGAGTTGTGAATGAAAAGATTTGAGTGACTCGAAAAGACTTAATAATAAGAGAAAGTTTAGAACTCATAACTGTCAAATAAGTGTCGCTTGTAATCGAGGAAGATGTTTTTTTAAAAGGACAGTCGAAGCGATGATCTTTTTTCCCACAGTAACACTTTCGAATCGAAAGAGTTCAGAGAAAATATCTATATCTTATGATGACATATTTGGCGACTAGGACTAAGGAACAGAAAATTTCTACTCGTCCTCAATCCTTGCGATGAACAACTACAACATCTTGATCTATGTGACAGCTGTTTGAGTTTGAATTAAAATAATCAAAGTGAACTACGTAGTGACACCAATATATGAACGAGTAACGACTGTTTCAATGTGACGTGATTATTGTATCTTTTCGCATTCATTTCAAGAAATATCCTAATAACTGGAATTCAAATTACACTTCACTCTAGTTTCTTCATTTCAGTTTTGTTAAGTTTGTATTTTTCTGATAGAAGATAGCGTCCAGGCAAACAAGAAACTGGCAAAAATGTGTGAAAACGAGCACGGTTTGGACGAATGGAAACGCTGCCATCTTTTCGAAAAATACGCTAAGTTGTAGATTCGCACCGTGTCGATCAGAAAGGGTTAGCAATCGTCACAATTCTGTTCCATTTCGACGCGTTTTTTCGGAAAAATGGCTGCGTTTTTAACCGTTGTGAATCAAATACGTGTCCCTAACGATAATATTCGTTGATTTCGATCGTACAGACTAATTCACCTATCTTTGCTCATTTTTCTTCGGCTAAACTTGAGAAGTTATTTACTTTTATATGGTTGGACAGAGCATTGATTACTGTATCGAACTGTGTAGTTCCCATTCCATTTATTTCACATCTTGGCTAAAAATTTAATCAATTTCCAAAAGCACTAAAAACAAATTTTGAGAAGAAAAATGAGTCTTGGGAGTTGTCCTCGAGTAATTATAACTTAATGAACAACCAAAAGAACAACTAAACTTTTTCAATTTATATATAGGTGGATAGAACATTCATCTTTCTATCGAACTGTATACTTTTCCTGAATAATTTCTCTCCTTGACTAAGAATTTAGTGAATTTTCTACGAGGAGGAGGGCGGGTAAATCGCTTTTAGCGCCCCCCTCAGATCCGACCCATTTACATCTGGTCCTAATCAGGGATGGTCCCTGATCATATTTTAGGCGTTAATTCTCTGAAATGTCACTTTTCGATTTTTCGTCATGTGGTACCCCCCAGGTATCTTGAAAAACTTTTTTTTCTCAAAATCATTTAAAAGCATATGCGCTTATGGAAGGAAGGGTGCTGATTTCAAATATCACAATAAGAGCTCAAGAAACTTGTTTCTAATGAAAATAGCATAGACCACATTCTAGGTCCCAAAACCCAGTTTTGAGTCTCTTAAGAATAAAGGAAGTGCCGAAGACCAGCGAAAAAGATGCTGCACAACGCAGAATTCTGAGCTCTATTCGAATCTAAGCCTTTCGTGTGGAGAAAAATTACGATGTAAAAAATCATTGGCGATTACCGGCCCCAAAATGGTGTGTTTTTATCATCACATTAGTGTTCATTGTAATTGATCCTGAAGGAAGCCATGACACATTTTCAAATTCCCTCTACCAGGGCAACATTTCAAGCTCTATCCAACGCTGGCCTGAAAAGAATCGAAAAGTATGTGCGTCAGAGTCAAAAGGTCGAAATATCGCCTATTTTCCCGAATTTTCAGTAATTTTAGTCATATTCACTAGACTTGGCGATGAAGGAAGCTATGACACATTTCCAAATCCCGTCTATTAGGGCAACTTTTCAAGCTGTATTCAACGATGACCTTAAGTATCGAAGAGGTAGGGAGACAGTATGTGGTTTCAGGATAGAGCAATTAACGCCAGCGTCGATTACAGTCACCAAAGTAGTCTCAGTCGGGTGATCGATTCGATCGACTTCCATTTGAATATGCATCAACTCAACATTCGTCAACCGTTTCAGTATTGTGACGAGATTGCTCATAAATCTCAACCTTCTTTCGTGCTTTTGTCGGCACACATCACAAATCACAATGCCCTCGAAAGTGAATGTACAAGGTGGTGAAGCTTGTTGACAGCTCGGAATAATTTATCGAAATTCTTTAGCACATGCGACCGCCTAGATCGGAATTAACTAATGAAGAATTAACTAATGAAGAACTTGTAAAACAAGCTGATGAATTGAATAGTATGAAGCCATTGATAGCATAATTAAAAGAAGATCATGCTCTAATTCAAACAATTAAATCAATCTGATGGTTATATTAAAACAT